AAACATCCTCCCCACTGCACTATCTATCTGGCTCAAAAACACAACATATTAAAAAAAACTTATGAGATGTAGCAATAACAATGTTAAAAAGGAACTCAATAGCTGCAAACATAAACTTTTCAACAAAAGTACTTGAGCTGGAGAGAGTACAAAGATCAAGGTGCTTGCCTTGCATTTGACTGACCCCAGTTAGCCATTATGTATGATTCCTCAGCACTGCCAAGAGTGACCCCTGAGCAGAGAACCAGGAATAGCCTCTGAGCACTATGGAGTATGGCCCCCAAGCCACAAATGATTGTCAAAGATGTGAGGTGCCACAAGGGAATGACCAGCCTTAGGAGAGAGACCAGACAGTATCTTTTGTTTGGAGTGATCAATCACCATTCTCTGGACTCCTGTACAGAACTGGCTCCACAGAACCTGAGACATCCATTGATAAAACAATTATGAAGAGGGGGATGGAGTGAAAGCACAGTGTGTAGGGCTTTTTCCTTGCATGCAGCCGACCCCCATTCGATCCCCAGCATCCCATATTGTCCCCCGAGCACCGCCAGGAGTAATTCCTGAGTGCATGAGCCAGGAGTAATCCCTGTGCATTGCTGGGTGTGACCCAAAAAACAAACAACAACAACAACAACAAATTATGAAGAATTTTTAGAAGGCAACAGCAAAGCATAAACCAGATATGGGGCTTTTTCTAAGCACATACTGCAGGCTAGTGAAGGCCGCCTGCCCTTGATAGGGATGGTGGACAGACTCTAAACTGACCCCCAGGGATCTCTCTTTCTTAGTATTCACATCTTTGTATAGTCTCTCCTCAAACATGGCGAGTAGAAGCAATTCTAAGCAGGTGATGGAATGTCACTTGTGGGATTATGTTCTGTTATGTAAGATTTCCTGTAAGCAGATAGGCTTAGAGAGACTATTGCTGTCTTTGAGACAGTAAGTAAACAACTTATCATGTCAGGAGGTCCCTATGGTAAGATGCTAAGAGCAACTCCAACTGCACTCAACAAGGAGCCAGTTCTCCATCCCCAGGAAATAAATCCCAAGTCAGCCACCTGAGTGATCTTGGAAGTTAATCCTTACCCACTGAGCCTCAGATAAGAACATATCACTGGCTGGACTCCATCATTTAAGGACTCATAGAGAACTGTACCTGCTGAAAAAACTCAGGTACATGAGTCCCTATGGTTGAAAACTTCAGGCCTTCTCAGTGTTGGGATGGGCTATCTCCCCCCACCTCCCTGTACTTTCCGAAGCCCCAGCAACTACGCCTACAAGCCACCTCTGTTGCCATATAAACTCATTTACCAGCCTTGTCCCAGAGACTGATAACTAAATCTTGGAAGAGATCAACTAGCCACAAAAAATTCTCAGACACAGTCCAGTAAAAATGTTTGGCTGAACTACCCAGTTAAAAAATCTGCATTTTCTGGGATGTGCGGCCATGAATGCCGAACTTTCCAACACTGACAACCTTACAACACTGACTTCCCAGTAGTAGCACACCAGATTGGATGGGATTCAATGTGGAAGCCAACCAATATCAATTAACAAAAACATTAACACATAAGGCTTAATTTGTGACAACATTTTAGTAATCCCTCAGATGAGGACATATGTCCGCATGGTGAGATACAACAATTTTCACTAATTTTCTTCTAAGAAAGTATTTTTTGATCATTTTGTGAGCCATTTATTGGTAACAAGCAATATAAAAGAAATTACTGTGGACCTGTTATGGGGGCAGACTTGAGAGGTAGTTGAGAATGGAGACATTGGTGGAAGGAAGGAGATAGTAGTGGTGGGATTGGTGATGGAATATTGAATGTCTGTAACAAATCATCATGAACAACTTTGTAAACCATGGTGTCTAAATAAAGTGTGAGTGTGTGTGTGTGTTTTGGTGGTGGGGGGAGAACATAACCCTAGAAACCTCAGGCATCACAGCCTTGCTGAGTACTGACTAGGCTGTGCCCAGGCTCCTGACCCACAGAGAGTGTGCAATCATACATACATACCGTTTGAAGCAATATGTTTGTGGTAATTAACTGTGAGCCATGGATAGCTGATGCAGAAGATCTTGGTGGTCCAAACTTTTAAGGGGAAGGTACTTTGCAAGTTCTCTGGCTCCCTTTGCTCTCATTCTGCCCCCACCAGATTTTTTTTTTTTCTTTTTGGGTCACACCCGGCGATGCACAGGGGTTATTCCTGGCTCATGCACTCAGGAATTACTCCTGGCAGTGCTTGGGGGACCATATGGGATGCTGGGAATCGAACCCGGGTCAGCTGCGTGCAAGGCAAACACCTTACCCACTGTGCTATCACTCCAGCCCCAGATTTGTTTTTTTTTTAGAGTACTTTCTGAGCAATTGTTGAGAGCATTCTATCTTAATGACCTTTGTCTTTTTCTTCCTATAAAATTAATAAATCTATCAGTCTCTTGTGAGTTAGGTTATGTGAGTCAAGCCCTAGAAAAAGAATCAATCCTGTGGGAGGCGGAACCGGTATGTCCTTCTTTCCCTGCTGAGACCACGAGTTGCCCCCTACAAGTGGCTCTCTGGCACAGACATGGCCCCAGAGGCACATGGATCTAATTCAGAACCCAGCGGCTTTTGGCAGAAATGTGAATGGACTATGCATTAAGCTATGGCTCTGTGCTCCCCCCCGCCCCCAGGGAAAGGGTGTCTGTCTCTTCCACCTCCCCGCCCCCCTTTCGCTGCCTCAGAGCTTATTGGACAGCCAGGTATGAGCCAGCAGTGACGGGGCAACTGTGGCCTCATGGGATGGGGGGCAGAACCAGCACGTCCTTCTTGCCCCACTGAGACCACGAGTTGCCCCCACAAGTGGCTCTCTGGCACAGCCATGGCCCCAGAGTCACACAAACCAATCTCAGAACTATGTGGTTTTTGGCAGAAATCCCTCCAGACTTAATTAGTAAAATAACAGAAATCCAAAATCACGCAGCCGCTACCACGTGACATCATATGGTCTTTATAACCAGCAATAGAAAATTATTTCGCAATGCCTTTTCAGCAAGTTTGATTATTGGGGGGAAATTCCAAATAATAATGGTGCATCTTTTGTCGAAATAATGAATGTAATCAAAGTAGAGAGAGAGTTAAGTGGAAATCACCTGCCTCACAGGCATAGGGAGGGGTGGGATGGGGGGTATATTGGGGCTCTTGGTGGTGAAAAATGTGTACTGGTGAAGGGATGGGTGTTTGATCATTGTATGACCAAGACTTAAACCTGAAAGCTTTGTAACTGTTCTCACGGTGATTCAATAAACAAATTTAATAAAAAGAAGAAAAGAATTCTGGAATATGGGCAAAATTAATTTTAGGCAGTGGATATGAGGGGCCTCCTAGTAGTGTTTCAGGATATCCCAGGGTTCACTGTTGGTGTTATTGGGCCAAGCTGTGTAGACCTGGTGGCTTAATGCCTGACTAGCAATGCAGTGTTGCTTGGGCCCCACAGTGCGGGGAGCCGTTAGGAACACATTGGGTGGTTTTCAGAGGCCACCAGGGCTATGTGGGGTAGTGCTGGGGGTTATGTGGTACCAGAAATTAAACTCAGGGATTCATTTATGCAAGGCCTACGATATCATCTATATCATCTGTTGAGTTGTATCTAGGGCTGCAAACTTGCTACAACCTTTTTATTATTTTTTCTAATTGAAAGATAATTGGCATATAACATTGTGCAAACTGAAGGTGTCCAAATTGTTGGTTTATATGACAATGATAGTTGGAAATGATCACTCTGGACAAGAATTGAGTGCTGGAAATAGGTAAGGAGATACGCATGGAAAAACTTCCAGTACCTATATTACGAACCATAATGCCCAAAAGGAAAGAGATACAGAGAGAGAGAGTGCAAGAGAGAGAGAGCAAGAGAGAGAGTGAGAGAGAGCAAGAGAGAAGAAAAGTGCTTGCTGTAGAGGCAGTTGGGGTGGGGGTGGAGGAAAGGTAACTGGGAGCACTGGTGGTAGGAAATATACACTGGTGAAGGGGTGGGTTTTGGAGCATTGTAAACTAAAACCCAATCATGAACAACTTTGTGACTGTGCTTCTCACGGTGATTTAATTTTTAAAAAGTGTTGGTTTATATGTGTATTACAGAATGATTACCACCATAACTTCAGCTAACATGTTCGTCACGCAACATAATTAGCCTCTCTTTTGTTTGTGTGGTGAGAGCAATTAAGATCTGGTTTCTTAGCCAGTTTAAAGTTTATAGTAAAGAATCAATGGCCATAACCACTCTACTGTGTATTAGCCATGCAAACTTTTTTTTTTTTATTGAATCACCGTGAGATACAGTTACAAAGCTTTCAGGCTTGAGTTTCAGTTATACAATGATGGAACACCCATCTCTCCACTAGTGTACATTTCCCACCACCAATGTCCCCAGTATCTGCCCCTCCTCCCCACCCCAGCCCTCCCACTGCCTCTATGGCAGACAATTTCCTCCACACTCTCTACTTTTTGGGCATTAAGCCATGCAGAACTTAATTAAATACTTCCCCAATTGTCCAACTCCCCAGCTCCTGGTAATCACCATTCCACTTTCTGTTTCCACAAGTTTCATTTTATTAGATTTCACGAATGAATTACATTATACTGCACTTGTCTGCGCCTGACCTATTTCATTTAGTGTAATGCCCTCAAAGCTCATTCATGTGTTGCAAATGGCAGGGTTTCTTTCTCAGATTAAATAATATTCTATTTGATATGTGATAAATAGTGTGTATTCAGATATTTATCAATTCATTCCTGATGTGAAGAAATCCGGCAAAGTGAAAAATCAGTCACCAGAGGAGGACTGGGATTGGTGGCCCCCCCTCGTCTCTGAGACACACCCAGGGCCTCGCCACTGATTGGCTGGAACTGCCTGGACTGCCCAATGGGAAGTCGCGATGTGTGTGTGTGTTTGTGTGTGTGTGTGTGTGTGTGTGTGTGTGTGTGTGTATTCCCGCAGCCCGGCACCCGAGTAGTACAGTTTGCTGAAGTTCCCTGCCGCATTGCCCCGCCATGGGTCTGGAGCTCTACTTAGACCTGTTGTCCCAGCCCTGCCGCGCCGTCTACATCTTCGCCAAGAAGAACGGCATCCCCTTCGAGATGCGCACCGTGGACCTGCTCAAAGGTAGGACGGGAGGCTTGGGGGAAACAGAGTAACTGAAAGACAGGACAGTGTAAGAGTATGGGAAATACTGTCTGCTATGGAGGCAGGGGGAGAGTGGGAAAGGGGGGTATACCGGAGATACTGGTGGTGGGGAATGTGCACTGGTGGAGGGATGGGTGTTAGATCATTGTGTGATTGTAACCCAAACATGAAAGCTTGTAACTATCTCACGGTGATTCAATAAAATTTTAAAACAACAACAACAACAACAACAAACATGATTTATGCCAGGTTTTATTTAAAAAAAAAAAAAGATGGATCAGTGTAGGTGATTCAATTAAAAAAAAAAAAAGACGGACAGTGTAGGTTATCTCTCTTGGCGCTGCCTCCTCACTAGCTCAACCACTAGGTAATGGGAGATTTAAGGAATCCCGTTGTCATGCCCTCCCCCAACTCTGCAATAAAGAAAACTACACACACACACAACACCTCTCACATTCACGCCCTTATCCCCCACAGAGAGAGAGAGAGAGAGAGAGAGAGAGAGAGAGAGAGAGAGAGAGAGACTCCGCTGAAGCCAAAAAGGAGGGGTGCTAACTTGAAGAAAGCAGTGAGCTGGTGAAGAGGCAAGGACGCATCAGATGTAGGAACAGGGGAAAAGTTGGGGGGAGGAGAAGGCTAAGGGAGGAAACAACCCTAACTGTGGGAACAAACTCCTTCCTCCTCCCTTTATGATCCCTGACAGCCTGACATACCCTGACACCGGACACTGCCCCACTGCCCCGCACTTCTAGCCCTACTCCGTGCACTCCCCAGTGAGCACTGGGGTCCCCCTCAGGCTCTTCCCTCTCTGTTCCCTTCTGTTCTTTGCTTCTGTCTCTCCTCCATATCTTTGTGTTTATTTTTATTTTTTAATTTTTATTAGTGAAACACCAGGAGGTACAGTTGTAGACTTACAAATTTTTGTGCTTGGGTTTCAGTTATACAATGATCGAGTACCCATCCCTCCACCAGTGCCCATTCTCCACCACCACTGATCCCAGTATCCCTCCCACCCCTCATCCCCCCTGTCCCACCCTGCCTTTGTGGCAGGGCATTCCCTTTTATTTTTTCTCTCCTTTTGGGTGCTGTGGTTTGCAAAAGAGGCATTGAGTGGTAATCATGTTTGGTCTATAGTCTGTTTTCAGCATGCTTCTCCCATCCTTGGAGGATCCTCCCAATACCCTTTATTTGGTGCTCCCTTCTCTATCTGAGCTGCCTGTTCCCCTAGCATGTGCGGCTGGCCTCCAAGCAATGGAGTAAACCTCCTGGTACTTATCTCGGCTATTCTTGGATGTCATTCTCCTATTTTGTTACTTTATGTTCCCCAGATGAATGCAATCTTTCTATGTCCCTCTCTTTCTGACTCATTTCACTTAGCATGATACTTTCCATGTAGTACCACTTGTATGTAAATTTCATGACTTCATCTTTTCTAACAGCTACATAGTACTCCACTGTGTAGATGTACCAAAGTTTCTTTAACCAGTCATCTGTTCTAGGGCACTCAGGTGTTTTCCAGATTCTGGCTATCGTAAAGAGTGCTGCAATGAACAAACAAGTGCAGATGTCACTTCGACTATACTTTTTTGCCTCTCTGGGATATATTCCCAGGAGTGGTATTGCTGGGTCAAATGGGAGCTCAATTTCTAATTTTTTGAGAATCGTCCATACTGTTTTCCAAAAGGGCTGAACCAGTCTGCATTCCCACCAGCAATGAAGGAGGGTCCCTTTCTCACCACATCCATGCCATCACTAGTTGCTTTTGTTCTTTTGGATGTGGGCCAGTCTCTGTGGTGTGAAATGATATCTCATTGTTGTTTTGATATGCATTTCCCTGATTATTAATGATGTAGAGCATTTTCTCATGTGCCTTTTAGCCATTCGGATTTCTTCTTTGAGAAAGTTTCTGTTCATTTCGTTGCCCCATTTTTTGATGGGGTTAGATGTTTTCTTCTTGTGGAGTTCAACCAATACGTTGTATATCCTTGATATCAACCCCTTGTCAGATGTGTACTGGGCGAATATCCTTTCCCATTCTGTAGACTGTCTTTATATTTTGGTCACTATTTCTTTTGAGGTGCAGAAGCTTCTTAGTTTAAGATAGTCCCATTTGTCTATCTGTTTTCACTTGCTTGTCCAGTGGTGTGACATCTTTGAAGATACTATTAGCTTCAATGTCATGGATCTCCTCCATATCTTTGAAGCAGGGGAGGGGTGTCGGAGTGCGTCCTAATCTGGACTGTTTGTTTCTGGGGCCCCAGAACATAGTTTGCCTGGGTCAAGGGAAAGCAAAGCCCAGGTGGACAAGCTAGGATAATCTCCTCACTGTCCTCTCCCCTGTTTCCTTGGTGCCTTTGCAGTGGTCAAGCTCTGACCCCAGGCCTCCTCCACTGCCCTGTCCAGGGTTTGCCTCTGTAGACCGTGAGGCAGGGATGTGCCAGGTCAGTTGGTAAGCAGAGGGGTGGGATGGAGGCGTGTCTGATCAGGAGAGTAGCGAGGGTGTCTCTCTAGTTCAGGAAAAGTCTGAAGGGAGAGAACGTGGTGGATGCAGGGAGATGACTGAAGCTAGATGGTTAGGGCAACTATGTGTGGTTCAGAACTTCCTCCTGATCCTGGGGTAACAGAGGGGCAAGGTAAGCTCTGAGCTGGGCAGTGATGAGATTTAAGTGCCTTTCAGAAGCTTCTCTCGGGCTGCCTCTGTAGGAGCAGAAGCCACTCACACAAGTTCTAGCAAAGAGAGATGGTGTGTATAGACAGGACAAAAAGTATGTAGGCAGTTCAAGCCCCAGGAGAGCCAAAAAGGAGTGCCACTGTCCCCAGTGCCCAAGGGCTCCAGGTGAGCCAGGGTCAATAGAAGTTGGTTGTAAGTCAAATTGGCTTGTTTGGCGTCTCTACCTTCGAGCTTGCGGGAAAGGGCACTATAGCTCTACTTTGCCCACCAGCTACTCTGCCTCTGCAGTGGGGCATACCCCAAAGGTGAACCCATGATTCTAGGGATGGCAGAAATGGGGGCACTGCAGCCCCAATGAGGATGCTTACAAAGACTGGCAAGAAACACCAAGTTTTAGTTTGCACTGACTGGCAGAGAAGCTCTCTCTATTCTTACAGTGCCCCTACTAGCCTTTGCTGTGCAGAATAGCCAGGGGCTGGAGAATGCTAGGAAATTGGGGTTCAGGCCAGGTAGGGAGTGGGCATAGGGGACACGTTTCTACCCACAACCCACCATGATGGACTTTCTGCAGGAGAGCACCTCAGTGATGCCTTTGCCGAGGTGAACCCCATGAAGAAGGTGCCCGCCCTGAAGGATGGGGACTTCACCTTGTCTGAGAGGTAAGGGGACCCTGGGGTAGCTACTAAACCTCGCTAGAGCCTTACTCTTGTCCTGACCCTTGGTAGAGCTTGTCCTAACATTGTCCTGACCCCTTATTTTTTTTAGAGGAGGGGTTTGGGTCCACACTCAGCTGTGTGCAGGGCTTACTCCTGGCTCTGTGCTCAGGGTTAACTCCTGGTGATACTCAAAGGACCGTATGCAGTACCAAGGATTGAACTGGAGCCTGCCAGTTTGCAGAACAAGACCTTACCCATTGTTCTATCTCTCTGGCTCCCTGTTTCTCGTTTTTTGAGATGCTGGGGATCAAACCCAGGTTTTCTGAATGTAAGGCAAGTATTCTACCAGTCAACCATGTCCTGGTCCCCCTTAGTTTTGTAGACAAGAAGCTGAAATCCTCAAATGTGAAGGAAGGGCCTTTTGCCCTGCATCCCACAGAGTCAGGGCCCAAATGCAGTCCACTGTCCCAGCTGACAGGCATGATGGGAAAAGCAAGCAGCTCTTTTACTTTTGTTCCAATCTTGTGGCTGCTGTTGCGAGTACCCTGGTGCAGGGGTGGGTGCAGGGCTGGGTAGGGTACAGCAACTCCCTTCTCCCCCCATAATGGCAGCCCTTTGGTCAAACTTGTGTTGAGATGACCCTGGGGTGTCTGGGCTACTCAGAGGCTCTACTCTGAGCTTCGGCTTCCCTGAATGGGCCTCTCCCGTGGGAGGCCACCAGAGCCACGGATGTTTAGCAGGTCCCATGGTGTGGAAATCTCTCTAGGAAAGGTCAGAACTTCTCTAGTTTTATCCCCTTTTGTCCCTCATTCCTTCCATTTCAGAGAGAGCCTATTGCTTCAGAATTTATCTCTGGAATCTCCCGGATGGACCCACCCCAGTGAATTCCTCTAACTTTTGTGTCAGTCGCTTTCTTCCGGTCTCCCCCAGTGACCCTCAATCATGTGACACCCAGGGTTCAGCACTCCTGGAGAGGTGCCAGGGACAGCATGCTCCTACTTTCACTAAGTGACTTGAATAATTAACTGGTAGCAAAAGGGGCCAAGAGTGCATGCATGGCAAGTGGGTGGTATGACAGGGTGGACACAGGATGTGGAACAGGGAGTATGGACCAGTGGAAGTTTTTCTGCCTTTTTGGTTGGGGTGCCCAGACCTGGAGCTATTCCAGGTTTCTGAAAGTCTTCTTATGGCCCCAAGTTCATACATCCTCTGAGCCTTCCAGATCATGCCTGCCCCTCCCCCCTTCACTGTGGTAGCTTTTCTAACTCTGGGCAGAAATAAAAGGTCGTTGGTCTTGTCTGTTGTGCTGTACCATTGTCCTACTGCATGCCATTGTCTTCCTCAGGCTGCTTTAGAGAGAAAAAAGTGATGTCAGGAAAGACTTTTTGAGCAAGCTGGTACCTGAGGCTGCTTTGAATCTAGAGGATATGGATGTGGACTGAAAACAGCTCAATTTCTAGAAGGTTCAGCTTTGGTGCTGTCTCCTCTAGGAAGCAGTTCTCAGGAACTGCCCTGAAACCTTTAGCAGGACAATCTGCTATGGGATCCTGCCTGACTGTAGGATGAGCTTGGGGATTAGTCTCAAAGATTTGCCATTTTACCATGCAAGCCCATTGCTCCCAGGGAAAGTCACTTCACTTTGTTTTTGGGCCACAGCCAGCAGTCCTCAGGGTTTACTCCTGGCTCTGTGCTCAAGGATCACACCTGGTGGAGTCAGGGAACCGGATGGGATGCTGGGCATCGAGCCTGGCTTGGCTGCGGGCAAATCAAGTGTCCTATGTGTTGTATTGCGGCTCTGGCACTCTCCTCATTCTAGTAAGCCTGACTTCCTTGTGCGGTGAATAAGGCAGACAGATACGTTGGCACTGGAGGAAGGGTAAAGAGGGGACTCTTTGAAGCTCTGAGCACAGTGCCCTCTTGCCCTCCATAACGTACTCCCCTCCTCTGCAGTGTGGCCATCCTGCTCTACCTGGCCCGCAAGTATAATGTCCCTGACCACTGGTACCCCCAGGACCTGCAGGCCCGAGCACGGGTGGATGAGTACCTGGCATGGCAGCACCTGGGCCTACGAAGAAGCTGCCTCCGGGCCCTGTGGCATAAGGTGAGGTTTCAACAGGAGCTTAGTGAGGTCATCATCCCAAAGGGGCCATCTCACCACTTTCCCCCTTCTCCAGATGAGTGGTTTCTGTAGACCATTGATTTTGACTTCTCACTTTGACCTTACTTTGTGTCCAGGTTGCTATTTCAGTTTTTGAATCACACCTGGTGATGCTCAGAGGTTACTCTTGGCTCTGTGCTCAAGGACCATTTCATTTTTTGGAGGGGGGGCAGTCACATCCGGTGATGCTTAGGGATTACTCCTGGCTCTGCACTCAGGAATTACTACTGGTGTTGCTCGGGGGACCATATGGGATGCTGGAGATCAAACCCAGGTCAGCTGCAAGCAAGGCAAACATCCTACCCACTGTAGTATCACTCCAGCCCCTCAAGGATCATTTCTGGCATTGCTCAGGGCACCATGTGGGTCGCTGGGGATTGAACCTGGGTTCAAGCCATGCATGTACAAGGCAAGTGCATTAAGTGCCATAATATCTCTTGAACCCCCTATCGAAGATATTCTTTATTTGAGATGACTATTTTTTCAGTTCTAGAATTTCACTCTCCCCCCCCCCCGCCCCCGCAGAGTTTTAATTCACTCTGTTCGCCAATTTGGGTAATTTTATCTTTTAAATTATTTAATGCATATATGGGATGCTGGGAATCAAACCCGGGTCGGCCACTTGTAAGGCAAACACCCTACCTGCTGTGCTATCTCTCCAGCCCCTGGGTTGAAGCTTTAAATTGTTTCAGTTCATCCCCGGTTTCATATATCTTTTGAGGGTGGGGATCATGTTCCTTTCTTCATCTTGCAGGTATTTTGAATCTAAATGCCTACGATGACCATGACTATAAGAGTACTCTGCCTTTCCTTTTTTTTCAAATTGATTTTTGGGTCACACTCAACAGTGCTCCTCAAGGAGCAGTTTCTCCCCATCATTAGCCTAAGATGCCAAGCAAAGATTGGGTAGGAACCCTGGCACTGTATCATCAGCGTACTTTCAGTTAAAAAGAAGTTAGAAAATGGGTTGGAAAGATGGTTTAAAGCCATTGAATGCATGTTTGTGCCCCAGGTTCAGTCCCGAGCATTGCAAGGTGCTAAGCACTGCCAGGAGTGACCCACAGTCACTGTTAGTGTGGTAAAAACAACAATAAAATCCAAAAAGAAATTAGAAATCTCAATGTGTATATGAAATGTTTCAATTTCAATGTGAGCAACTAATCCCTATTTTAATTTATGTTATTTATTTTTATTTTGATGTCGAAAAAAGCTGGAGCGATAGCATAGCAGTAGGGCGTTTGCCTTGCACGCAGCCAGCCCGGCCGAGCCGGGTTCGATTCCTCAGTCCCTCTCAGAGAGCCCGGCAAGCTACCGAGAGTATCTTGCCTGCACGACAAAGCCTGGCAAGCTACCCGTGACGTATTTAATATGCCAAACACAGTAACAACGAGTCTCAAAAATGGAGACGTTACTGGGCCCGCTCAAGCAAATCGATGAACTACGGGAGGACAGTGGACAGTAGAAAAAAGCAACACATATTGATACATATTTAGAATTAATATTGGTTAGATATTGATATTAATATTGATTAAGATTAAAATAATCACAAATCACAAATCATCCTGTTAATTGTCGATTGCCTCGAGCAGGCCCCAGTAACGTCTCCTTCGTCCTAGCCATGAGATTTTTTAAAAAGTGCCATATTCAAGGCTCTTTCAGGTTTAGGAGAATGAGACCCATCATTGTTACTGGTATTTGGCATTTTGGGTATGCCACAGGGAGTTTGCCAGACTCTGCCATGTGGGCAGGCTACATTCGGTAGCCTGCCAGTTTGTCCAAAGTAGGAATGAGGTAATAAGATGTCATAATAAGATGTCACGCGGCCGCGATTAAAATAAATTAATATTTAATTTAGTATTAATATTGATATTAATATTGAAATCAAACTGCAAAATTAAAACCAATGGGTATAGAGAAAGTCCATTTACATGAAAACTGTATATATCTGATCGCAGGGTTGTTAAGTCCTTGTCTAAGAATTTATTAAGCAGCTTGTTATTTTAGGATATGTGCTATTTCTGGTAAAGGAGCCCTTCAGGAAGTTTTTGTAGGTCCAGTTTATAGAAACCGGAAACAGCTCCTGCCCTGGGGGATGTGTTGCCCTCAACTACCCCCAACCCCAGCTTTTCTGCCTCCCACCAGGTGATGTTTCCTGTTTTCCTGGGTGAGTTGGTACCTCCTGAGACTCTGAAAGCCACCATTGCCGAGTTGGATGTATCCCTGCAGCTTCTCGAGGACAATTTCCTGAAGGACCAGGCCTTCCTTACCGGGCCGCACATCTCCTTGGCTGACCTGATGGCCACCACAGAGCTAATGCATGTGCGTGCTGTGTGCGGGTTGGGTCTACGGGGTAGTGGTGCTGAAATCCTCCTCGTGTCTCCCTTATCTCTCCATATGCATGAAAAACTTGTTTTTGGAATCTGTGGCCCCCCAACCAAGTGCCACCATTCTTGACCTTGTGTCCCTTTTCTCCCTAGGCTGTGGGTGCTGGCTGCCAGGTCTTTGAAGAGAGACCCAAGTTGGCTGCATGGCACGAGCGTGTGGAGGCGGCAGTGGGGAAGATCCTCTTCTGGGAAGCCCATGTAGTCATCCTGAAAGCCAAGGACTTCCCACCTGTAGACCCTACCATGAAGCAGCAGTTAATGTCTAGGGTGCAAGCCCTGATGGGGTGAGCCAGGAAGGCTCTTTCCAGCACTGCCCCTGGCGGTTGGAGAAGTGCCTCATTTTCCGTCATCTCACAGGAGGTCGGCCCAAGTCAGGAGTGGCTCATCCATTCTTACTGCACCTCTACCGTCCAGCCCAGGGCTTTACCCCAGTTTGTCTTTCACAGCTGCCTGAGACACAGTGTAAACAGCACTTGAACCTGTCTCCTTCAATCACTGCATCGATTTTTTTCCCCTTTTCAGTTTAAACAATAAAACTGGCTGGTCTCAGCTCAAACCTCTGCTCCCCACTCTGGCTTGTGATTTATTTGAATTTCCAGTTCTCCTCCTCTGGGTTTTGGTCTCTATTCAAAAGACTCCGCCCTTTGCTAGGTTCTCTGTGGGTCAGCTTCCCCCTGCTGGTTGCCAAGAGTGAACTAAACAGGCTTGCTCTTCAATCCAAGTCTGTTTTTCCTTGAACATGTATCTGGTAGCTTGTTTGTTTCTCTATGCCTCTTTGCTTGCTTTTTCAACTCTGGAGAAGCCCATGTTCTCTCTTGAACCCAGACTTTGTCGCTTTCTCTCCTCTCACATCTAAGTTTCATTCAATAAAAACTATTTTGATTCACTAAAAAAAATGTCTGCCAGTTTATAAGAGCTAATATAAGTGGAGACTTTGAACTACTGTCTCATGTATTCTAAATGTGTGCTTTACCTCTGATCCACACCCCTTGTCCCAATGCTAGTGATTTTTGTTTTTATTTATTTTGTTTTTGTTTTTTGGGCCACATCTGGGGATGCTCAGGGGTTACCCCTGGCTATAAACTCAGGAATTGTGCCCCAGGTTCAGTCCTTGGTGTTGCAGGGTGGTAATTGGGGGACCATATGGGATGCCGGGGATCAAACCCAGGTAGGCCTCATGCAAGGCAAATGCCCTACACACTGTACTATCTCTCCAGCTCCAGATAGGCATTTTTGAATGGAATTGGAGCAGCCATTCTAGAGAAATTGCCTTGCTGTCTTGAATCTTTGGACAGGATCAGACCTTTGGAGTGGGTGAAACTGCAATTATTTGAGAAATCTTCAAGCTAACAATTGTTCCAGAGGTTATCTTCATAATAAGGATGCCTGGCTTGGGATATTTTGTGAGAGGATAGAATGAGTAACAAATCACTTATTATGAGTAACTTAAGTGTGTTAGCACCGAAACACTCTTTTTGTTTGTTTTGGGGTATCACCCAGCAGTGCTCAGTGGCTGGGCTCAAAAGACCTTGTGGGGTTTGTGGTACTGAACCCAGGTAAAGCCACATACAAAGAAAGTGTTCTACCCACTGTGTTATCTCTTCATCCCAGCACCCAAAACTATTTTCCACATCTTTCTCTTTTATTTCCAGAAAGAAAACAAACAAACAAAAAAACCCCTACTTTCTATTCCTCCTTGGGATGCTGAGTTTCTCCCAGAATCCATGATCTCTAATAACAATTCCCTGATCTTAAATGTATTTCATCTTTTAATTGCCTACAGATTGTCAGATTAATAAGAACTACATCAGAGAGCATAGGCGTTCTCAGGCATCCTGTGCTGGCTCTAGGCTCGGTGTCCATTCAGTTAGTGAGGCCAGCCTCACTGGATATGGTCTTTTGGCACCAAGCACTCAACATCTTGAGTACTGCCTCTGTCTGTCCCAAGGAACTGGTCAGGAAGGGAAAATCTGAATAGCAGCTTTCCTGGTCAGGACTCGGTCACATGAGAACTGAAATGGCATGCTTAGGAACACCAAACGCAAACAAGAGTGTCGTGTGCAGATTGTTTTTGTGAATAATATTCTGGCTGCTCTGCGGGTTGACCTGGAGGGCAGCCAGGGAGGAAGTAGGGAGATTGGCTACTGCAGTAATCTGGCCAAAGGTGACTTGTGGTGGACAGGCCACATATTCCCCATCCTCCAGCCTGGGAAGGACTATCGCACTGAAGCAGGAAGACGCTCTCCTGGGCCCTCCATACTGCAATGTAAAGCAGTTTAAATCTTCTTTCAATCAGGAGCATGGGGGGCCAGGGAAGTCTATTTATAGTTCTTAAGTTTTCCAATAACAGATTCTCTTGCCAAAGGGTTTCTTTTGAATCTTGGGATTGGGACAGGTTTCTCATCCCAGGAGACTTTCTTAGGAAATCACAACCACAGACCTTAGGAGCCCCAGGGTCTTAGTTAGGGAGACTTTGTGCAAAGAACATTGCAACTGCATCTCAGCATGTTTTTAGGTAAGGTGGGACAACCCCCCATCATTTTCCCAGGGGAGTTTAACCTGACATGTAATGAATATGACCCAGAAAATGAAAACTGGTGAAGGAGGATAATTTCTTCCTAGAGTTCGGGCTTGCAGGAAGCAGGGATCCACACATCCTTCTCAGCCACCTTGGGCACAAGGCCCAGGGGAAGTTTCCTCATCTCTTTTCTCCTCCCTTTGTGTTCCCAGAATTTTGAAGCTGCTCCTTTCTTGACCTTCCTGGGTGTGGGGATGCAGTTTAGACGGATCGCTGCAGCCTAGCCCTTTCACCCTAAATTCATTAGGGCCAGTGCAGAAAACAGCCTTCTTGACGCCCCAGTTTTTCATCATCATTGCCTTTGCTCCTTCCTTCCTTCCTTCCTTCCTTCCTTCCTTCCTTCCTTCCTTCCTTCCTTCTTTCCTTCCTTCTCTCTCTTCTCTCTCTCTCTCTCTTTCTGTTTTTTTTTGGGGGGGGTAGGGCACATGTGGCTGCCTGGCTGTGCTCAGGGATCACTCCTGGTAGTGCTCAGGGACCATATGGGGTGCTAGAGATTGAACCCGGGTTGGCTTTGAGTAAGCAAGGCAAATGCCCTATCTTCTATCACTTCTATCACTATCACTCTGGGCCCTCTTTCCTGTGATTTACAAAGCTTTTGTTAAACAAGTCTCTGTCATTCCTCAATAGTACCTTTCCTGGGGCTGGAGCGATAACACAGCAGGTAGGGTGTTTGCCTTGCATGCAGCCAACCCGGGTTCAATTCCCAGCATCCCATATGGTCCCTGGAGCACCGGCAGGGGTAATTTCTGAGTGCAGAGCCAGGAGGAACCCCTGTGTATCGCTGGGTATGACCCCAAAGGCAAAATAAATAAATGAATTAAAAAAAATTTTTTTAAAAAATAGTACCTTTCCTAATCCACCATTCTCAACGTTAGCTTCTCTCCAATAATGACCAAATTTTCCTCCTTCTTCCCATCTCCCCTCTTTAGGAAACCACTTTCAAAAGTTACTTGTTAACCTTTGCATCACTTGCTTCCACTAGTGTTGACTCGTGGTTTTGAAATACATGCTTACTCACCTCCACCTCCACATCACTGACATTTCCAAGACCCTTGACCCTTATGCTATCGCCGCTCCGTTTCTACACTCTCTCCCCCACCTGCTCCTTCTCATTCCTTGGCATTCTCTCTTCTCTGGCCTATTTAACGACGGTAGATATTGAAGTCTCCGGAAGAAAGAGGTGAGTGTGTGCCTTCCCTACCAAGCCAGCCTCAGCTGGCCAGAGTCAGGGGAGTTGCTCATTGGTCCAAGGTTCTCTCGGGCCGTCCAATGGGTTGGAGGGAGGCGTGGCCGAGCGCGGGCTCCTAGTGGCGCGAGGTTGCAGAGCTCTGGCAGTTCCCCTTTGCCGGTCCAGCTCACCATCCTGTCCCCGGAACGCCTGCCGCACCCCGACATCTCAACCATGGGCCTGGAGCTCTACCTGGACCTGCTCTCCCAGCCCTGCCGCGCCGTCTACATCTTCGCCAAGAAGAACGGCATCCCCTTCGAGATGCGCACCGTGGAGCTGCTCAAAGGTGCGTGGGGCCGCCAGACCCCAGGGTCTGAGTCAACTTTGTGCCCAAGGACCCTCCTTTCCCCAACCACGCCCACTCCCGTGGCCCCAAGGTCTGGTAACACGTACACACATAAGGGAGTAGAGAGACTTGCCAGAGCAGAAACTGTTGCATTAGTACTCTCTGTGTCATTATTATCATTATTTTATTATTGTCATCATAACATATTTATTATTATTATTATTATTGCACTGCTGGGGATTGAACCTAGTGCTTCAAACATGCAAAATAAGTGCTCTACCTCTTGGTTTCATCCTCAGCCCCAATTGTTTTATATATATATATGTGTGTGTGTGTGTGTGTGTGTGTGTCACGGTCCTCCCATTGTTCATTGATTTGCTCAAGCGGGCCCAGTAACATCTCCATCGTGAGACCTCTTGTTACTGTGTTTGGCATATCGAATACATCACGGGTGGCTTGCCAGGCTCTGCCGAGCGGGCGAGATAGTCTCGGTAGCTTGCCGGGCTCTCCGAGAGGGGCGGAGGAATCGAACTTGGGTCGGCCATGTTGGCCGCTTGTAAGGCAAACGCCCTACCGCTGTGCTATCGCTCCAGCCCATATATGTAAAGGTAAAGGTAAAGGCCCTCCCGTTGTTCGTCGATTTGCTCGAGCGGGCCCAGTAACGTCTCATATATATATATATATATAGTCTATGACCACACCCAGTGAACGGTGATGCTCAGGAGTTACTCCTGACTCTGCACTCAGGAGTTGCTCCTGGTGGTGCTCAGGGGACCATATGTGGTGCTGGGGATGGAACCTGGGTCAGATGAGTGTAGGGCAAGCTCACTACCTGCTCTACTCTCGCTCCACCCCTCACCCCCACCCCACTCCAGCTGTATATTTTTAAAAGAGCCTCCATCTTTGCCTAGGGAATACAAAAAAAAATCTTCAAAATATATATTAAGTGGAAGTAGAGCAAGTAGAAGGCAGTGGGGAGGAGTGTAAGAAAACGGAGGGAGGACTCAAGAATCTTCCTCTGCGGGGTCTGGAGAACACCCTGCTCCTAGTGTATTCCTGATTTCCTGGTAGGAAGAGACCCTTTCTTCTGAGCTCTTGTATTTGCCATCAGATTGGGTTGGTCGCCTGGATCTGTTCTCCTCTTTGCTCCCACCTATGCTTAGACCCCCTTCGCCTTTACAGAATACAGTGACTGAGCAGGCCAATCACTGGTCTGGAGGGCAGGCTGGGTGGGGGGGGGGGGGGGAACACTCCGGCTATTTGGACCTGCTCACTTTCCGCCTTGGGGAGCGCAGCCTGGGCCACCATCTGGTGTGCTACCAAGTCGTGCTCTACTCTCTGGCATTACTAAGGGTCAGGCTGTCCACAGAAACTGTGGGAGGAAGAATGGGAAGGGGTGACTCTGTCCACTCTGTAGAAGGGCAAAGAAGGGTCGGAGGGTAATACTGAGGGTAGGGACTTGTCTTACATGGAGCTGATCTGGGCTTGATCTCTGGCATCCCACACGGTCCCTAGAGCCCCACCAGGAGTGATCCCTGAGTGCAGAGCCAGGAGGGAGTCCTGAACACTGCTGAGTGTGGCTCAAAAACAAAAAATAAATCCAAAACAACAACAATAGAAAAAGAAGGACAAAGAAACCCACAAGTGAAGGCCAGGCTTCACACATTATTTATTATTATTATTTTTACATTTTATTAATTTTTATTAGTGAGACACCATGAGGTACAGTT